GCTGCCAAAGGAGAAGCCGTTTTACTTCCTTTTAAACTTGCAATGTTTGTCTTTATTTTGTTCTTTATATTTCGAAAGTGAAAAGAAATAGTATTGAGTCAATTTCTTTTTTTTCCTTTTTTTTTCTTTTTTTTTTTTTAAATATTTGTTCTATGTATTTACAAGCCTTAAAGTTGCTCTAAAGGTTCTGAAAGTATCACTAGTACTTTTGTTTTTTTGTTTTCCCCCAGGATAGCACTGTTTTGAACGAGTTATTTTCGGAGCACTCTGGTCCACAGCAGTTTTCTCAAATGCATTTCCTTCCGTTCCAAGGTTATGTACGTTTTGATTATTATTTTTTTCTTTTAAATTTCTGAAGCAAGCTGAGAGGCAGGCAAAAAAATCTGATGACAATTAAAAAAAATTTCTCTCTTCCTCATCTAGCTTACCCCAACCCCCTTGAAAGTTTTGTCTAGTTATCATGCTTTGAAACAAAACTGAGGTGCGTAGGAAGGGGAGGGAAATTTATTTCTCTGTTTTTGTTCTATTATACAATTTGTTTACAGAAACTGCAAATTTAAAAATTACACTGGCATTTGCAGTCCTTAAAATAATAAATTAAAAGTTTTCAACTTTTTTTTTGTGCTAAACAGATTCGTTTCGCTTTGTGTTTCTGTAAGTATGAGTCCTTGTTTAAAAAGGAAAGAAAAAAAAAAGATTAAAACAGAAAATATTTTCTATAAATAATACATGTATTTTGGTTTAGTGCTCCCGCCCTCAGGTTTGACGTTTTTGTTTGTTTGTTTGTTTTCAAGTACCTTTTTTTCCTCCATGATCACCTTTGTGTTTAGCTATTTTTACCTCTCCCACTCGTGCATGTGTGGGGAAGGGGGGGTCTGCGCGAGAATTGGCCTTGCTGCACTGTGATTGGCGAAGACGTGAAACTTTTTAAAAAAATACTTAAATTGTTTCTTTTTTTTTCTTTTTTTTTTCTCTCTGTATTTTTTAAGTTTTAATTATCCTCCGACTCCTCTTCGGCCTCCCGTAGCCACGTGAAGAACGCCGTGACGGATTTGAGCGCGACTCCCTTCCCGTTCTGCTCCGCGGGGTCCTTGCTGCTCTCCCACTTGTAGAAGGCATCCTCCGATATCACCTCCTCGTCGTACAGGCAATCAAAAAACATCCGCAACAGATCTGCAACGAGGGGAGAGCGGGACTGCTGCGGGAGCCGCACGGAGCCGCCGCTCCGGGGAACGGGATTAGCGCGACCTTTGCGGCGGGAGACGCAGGCACGAGGGAAAAGCGAGGCCTGTTACTAAATTATCCCTGGCTGCTTCCACACAGCTAAGAAGGAACCCGAGGTCCCTCCGACGCTGGAGGTCCCGGTGCCCTCCCTTGCTTCGCACTGCTGGCTCCCTGGGGATTCCCATTTCTTTGGCAACCCCTGCTCTCTTTCCATCCTGCAGCATTTCTGGGACAGGCCTCGTCAGTTGTGCCACTCGTCGCTGCCACTGCGACGAGCGTTGCTCCCACATGTCCAGGTGTCCTAAGATTTTCTGCCTTTTTCCTCTTTTGGCATCACAACCAGGAGGAAAACACTCCAGCCAAGCAAGGGGGACTGCACTGCTCAAAGATGAAACTACTACAAGCTGCTTTCCCTCATCTTCTACATATAAACACAGCTTCACCATCAGGAAAAGCACATCCCTCTTCCACCACTAGGCTTTACTCCCACAGAAGCAACTTTTCCTTAGGATTCAACCCCCCAGCGCAGACAGGATACTTACTAGGAGGTTGATCAAGTTTTACTATTGATGCTTGTAGTGCATAAAGTGCTTGTAGTTCCTTCTCTGTGTCTGAGTCTAGGTACTTGAGTAAGATGGGCACTCTCTGCTTGATAACAGCGTTGTCCACACGGAAGCTAGAAGAGTCCGCTGAGGGTGAGAGGGGAAAACAGTGTTAGCTTTGGTACCTGGCAACAGGGACAGGTCCTTTATCACCTGATTAAAACAGAAATCACAGCTATGAGTTAGCGTGGAGCACTAAAACCACTACAGCAGAAACAGAATCAGAAACTGCACGGGACACAGCAAATCAGAAATACATTGAAGTGTGTTAGAAGTCCACTTCCTTCAGCAGCTTTTCCATAGAACATGCTGAAAACATGACTAAGATTTTTGGAAAACAAAAGGATCTGTTAGAAGACAGAAAGTAAAACAAGATGTCACTGATGACACTCTCCCAGCAGAGATACATTAGGCAACCCTTACACACTTCTCATAAAATCCCATGTCATTTAGCCATTAACACTAGGTGGCATCCGAAAGATTCTGTTTTCTAGGAAGAAAGGAACTGGGCTGTGCTTTCCCCTGCATCCATGCAGTGGCAAGACGCAATTCCGACCAATCCCTCCCCGCGCCAGACTCTCGCAGCTAGGGGCAGAAACGGACACTTTACAAGCCCAATTTCCTCGCCTCGCCAGATGCCAACAGTAAAATTAAAGGAAACGACGTGAACGGGCCAGATGTCTGCACTGGCTGGAGGTGCCTCGCTCAGCCCCGCGGCTCTGGCGCTCACACTTCTTTTCCAGGAACCCGCCCTCTCCGTGCGCTTCCGACTGCCAGGCCCTGGGGCGTCACGGCTCCATGTACGTTCAAGCAATCCACATAAACTCTCGTCCCCAAAACGCCACTCTTTTGGGACATAAGGACTATCAACGAGCCAGGGCCGGCTCCTTCTCCACTGCAGCCCCCAATCCCAGCTCTGGCATGGCAATCCGCAGACCCACCGCCCGGGAAATGCTCATTATCCTAATAACGTCCAGCCCTTTTTCCACCTTCGCTGGAAAAGAGTCAACGAAAATGATCTGCTGTTGCTCAGGGCGTCTCAAACGTGAAAGGGCCACGCCAGGAGCACAGAGTATGAGCCCCAGCAAAGTGAGTGGCTGTTGCGGGTTCAAAAATCTTAGGGGTGTGAGTGTGAAAAGCAGCCCAAGAGGAGAAGAGAAAGTGACATAAACCTTAAAAAAAAAAAAAAAAATTCTTGGCACATGTGATTGATTTGTTTGGTGCTTGCACTGCATGTAACTCACCTATAATAGCTGCTTTGCAAACTGCTGTCATTAAAGCTCTAAGGAATGTAGGTGAACTCATCTGGCTTTCATCTAGATTAGCCTGAAATCAAGAGCAAATGGAGCAGTTAAACACACTGCAGCCTGAAAGAGCAACCGCTTCCAGAAGCCACCGCCGCCTTTGGCAGCAGGCACCGATTGAGCACAGGCTGCTGCAGCAGGAGGCCAATCCACCCCCTGCAAAAACGCGGCCTCCCCGCTGCCCTCGGGAGCAGCTCGGGAACGTCAGCGCGGCGACGGCTCCGCGACCGGCACGGCCTGTTCAGCTGCTCCCACCGACCAGTTTCTCGGCTCGATAAACCGATCGAGACGACGCCGTTCAGCTTTTGCGGTGCCTTTTTAGGTTTTCCATGTGTTCTCCACTTCTTTGACACGTTTTGTGCCGTCCTCCCTGGCAGATTTGCTTTGGATAGAGAGGACACGGAGGGAATGGCTACGTAACTGGCCCGAGCCCACAAAGAGCCTGCGGCTGTCCTGGGGTTTTCAGCGCTGCTCGTGCTCTGCTGCCCTCGCAGCAAGTGAAAAAGGACATTTCTAGCACATCCCTGCAGTGACAGAAATAGCTGCAGTGAAGCTGACCGAGGTTTTTAGCTGCAAGCAGAGCTAGAAACGCTTCAGGCTGAGCTCTGTGGCAGAAGCAAGATTTAAAATCCAGCTTGCAGAACGATGCTGGAATTAAGGGGGCAAAATAATAATAATAATAATAATAATAATAATAATAATAATAAAATTAAATCAATGTTTTTTGCTACTGTTGTTTCTTTTTCTCCCTTTATGCTGCGTGGTCCAAGCCCGTGGGGAAGGGACACACGCTCTCTGGGGCAGTCCAAACTTGGGATGTTTTTAAGGCACTGCACAGCGGGCAGCTAGGCAGGGGGGATGTGTGTGGGTTGTGTCACAGGAAACAACGAGACGCTTTTATCCCAGGTCCAGGGATAAAAACTCTCAGAAAGGAAACACTAGGCAAGAAAGAGTAAAAATAGCAAGAGACTAGCTTGATAACGTCACTGGTAACCAGAAGCAGTGGTTCGGAGAGAGTCTACTTAAGTGCAGCTACTCAGAGGAAGGTAATAATAGCAATTATTTTTTTCAAAAAATGTTTAGCGCGTTGTGTTTATTTCTCAATTCTGGCTCGTGTTACAGGGCAACCCCCTCAGCAAAGCGTGGAGGCACCGCCACGAAGGTGCTGGCAATGCCTGAGCCTGGTAACCTCTCACTTCCACGGAGCTTCCGCAGCAGCAGGGAAACTGCTCTGCGCCACGGACTAGACATTATAGGTGGCTCCAGGCCGTTATTCCCAACGGCCAAGACTAGCTCAGAGCTGGCACTGCATGAACGTAACGGGAGGAGCTGAGGGAGATGCCCCTCCAGACGAGAACGTCTTTGTAAAAGCGGTTAACGAGCTCCGCGCGAGGAGGGTGGGAACGGCCTTTGTACCTCTACCCAGTCAAAGATTTGTTCGTCGTTCGCCTTGTCCTCAACGATGAGTTTTTCTAGCTGTTTGTTCAGCTCTTCCGCAGAGAGTTCCTTCTCTGAAAGTGCTTCTGAGGAACTGGAACAGTCGGACTCCATGAAGTCCAACTTCTGCAACATCGGAAGCCAGGAGGAGAACCAGTTAAATCTACTTTCCTGCGCTGCATCAAGACAGCAAGCTCCAGCTCCTTCTGCCTCCCGCCGCTTCCCAATGCCAAGTCATCCCCACCAGGATTTACACACTTTCCTCGGCACGCGGGACAGGAGGGAAGGAGACCGACGGACACGACCGGGGACCCAAACGACCAAGCAGACACTTGCTCTCAACTCACTTGTTCCATGAGAAAGGTATGTACATCCTCCCCTTCAGGTAAGTAGTCCTTCCAACTGAGGCCAGTCTCCCTCCATAAGGCTCCCACTTTCTTATGGCTCTAAAACACAAACATTTTGGCTTGTTTTAAATGACTCGCCAGAAGCCCAGGGGAGCTGATGCAAGCTGGAATGGTGCAGCTGTGTCAGGAGAAATAAAGAGCTGTTCAGCCACCAGACAAGATGCCTAGCAATGAAGTGATCACATTTGGAGATCCCGTGCAAGAGAAATCATATAAATCACAGATGCAGCCCTGCCACAGGTGTAAGGAGCTGGTAAAGTGGTCACACACCGCGGTGATGTGTAATAAAACAACGTGATACATGGGGTTTGGAACAACTGCGGTCGGGATTACCTATGGAAAGGGGTATATGTGAGCGAGGCGCCGCGTCCCGCGGCTGTGACACGGAGCTGGCAGTTACATGACTTGGATTCTTCTCCTGACTCTGCCATTAACTTACTCCACGGCTCGCTCTCCCACACTCTGACATTAAGACACGGGGAAATTATCTACTAGAAAATGGTTATTTACAGGGCTGTTTTCTGGGCAGACGTGAGGCCTCAACCGCAGCTACGTAGCGCCTAAGTCACTCTTCAATTCCTAGAGTTTATTGCAGACTTTGAGGAAAGCTCCTTTTGCAGCACCTACAGCACAACCTTCTGCATCTCCTAATGTCACGCTGACCTTTTGGTAGCTCATTTAAAACGGCACTTATGCAATTCTGGCAAGCATAAAGACGCTAGTGACAACCAGCTATTCTCACCCAAAAGCTCTGCAAAAACATTTATCCCATAGCGCCCACGCAAGGAGGGGGGGTCACTGTGCAGCCAAAGCTAAGCGCTGACGTAAAAGCAGTCTGATATTTTGAATTTTAATATAGAGATTAGGAGAGTCCCTGCTGCAATTCACCAGCATGAGAGTTAGGTGACTGATCCCAGATGGAAATGCCTAACTCAAAATACCCAAAAGTGTACCCAAAAGTGGTCTAGATGAGATGGCATTAGAAGGCTGTGGCAGAAATGGAAACCTAAGCCTGTGCTTCAAGCCCCAGAGCACGGCAGCTTTTGTTACAGAGAACAGAAGGGGAAAAAAAAAAAAAGGTAAATCAACTGTTCAAACAAGCATAAGACTAAAATAAATAAATAAGAAGCCACTATCCACACTGCTAGCTTGAAATGCTCCCAGAACAGTCAACCTTATCTGAATGCATGCTTCAAAAAACAGGAAAGTGAGGGGATTTTACAGGGCTTAAAATAGACACTATCCAAAGTGCACTATTTAACTGCATTGAAAAAAATAAAAATAAAAAAGACAAAAACATCCAAAGTGCACTATTTAACTGAATTAAAAAAAAATAAAAACAAAAATAAAAAAAGACAAAAATGGAGACAGAGTTATATGGAAACCATCGAACTGTTTGGACACACAACTGTGACACGCGTTAAGAGAGCTCTGGAAGTTACAGGGTGAAAAGGTGTCACTACCCCTAGTGACGGGTGAGTCCTAGGGCTGGCAGGTTTAGTTTGGATAAGCACCCAGAAGTCTGAGGCCATCTGAAGCTTATCCGAACCCTCAGAACCTCTCCGGGCTGCAAGAACTGCTCTCTCGCAAGACTTTGCCGGTACTTGCTGCTTCTGGTCAGCCCAGAAATACCTCGAGAATGTCCCTCTTGCAGTATTTCAGCACTCTAGCTTCTGGAAGAAGCCAGGTGCAAAGGTACCTGCAAAAGGGAAAAGTGATGAGAAAGAAAAGTTAACTTTTGGGAGCCTCGTAATGCTTGGTGTGAGACTGGGGTTGGCGAGGCGGGTTTCCTACGGGATCTGCCTTGGCTGGCCCAGCTCTAAGCACCTCTGCGTGGGAAATGTGAGCATGTATGTGGAGCTCGTGTGTGGCTTCATGCAGAGACACGTATGTGCTGCATCCGGCTCAAACCTACGAGTGCACACCTGGACACTTACCATTTGTTTGCATAGAAGGTGCAAGATTTCAGCAAGCAAGACCCCGGCTCTTCCCACAGGAAGCAAAGGTTTGCTAAATTCTCTAGAATGAAAGAAAAACAGATATTCCTCCTTGAAAATTGTCCCCAAAAGACAGTCAAACACCAAAGGACAGTGCTCCAAAGCCAGAACACAAGACAAGGGGTAGTGATTAAACTACTTAATCCCCAAATAGCCAGTACAAATACAACAAAAAACAAACTGCCACCGAAAGAAAACGGCGTTCCTTACTGCATGAGTTCTCTCATAGAGATTCCTCCTTCTTTTAACATGGGGGTCACCAACTCAGCTAGGTACAACCAAATATGAGGGATATCTATGGCCATATCATCTGCCATCTCCAAGGTGTCTGAAAACCTTTAGAAAAAGAAGGAAAAAAATCAAGCATTAAATACAGCTCAGTTTGAGACTCCTCTGCAAAGTAAATCTGCACCATATTAAATCTTTTGTCTTAAAATAAAGGCAACCCAAGGATAAGGTTGCCTTCAAGGATAAGAAGATCCATCTAGAAAAGCTTTATTTACAGTAATTCTTCCAACCAAGCAATGCATTGTTCACCAACCAGTAAAACCTGGAAAAGGCCTTTTTGTCTATGAACACACAAGGTCTAATAAATGAAGTGTCCTTAAAAAATGGAATAACAGAAGGGCACGTGCAACGTAGCAAAACACTCAATTAATTCTTGCGTGAGCCATCAGGTGTCTGAAACCCAAGGAAATGTTCAATAAAGCAGGAGGAGGTTTCCTTCTTCTTCCATGGATCATTTTCCCAAGCTGGCCGGAGAGCAGACAGGCAGAATGCGGAACAGGGCAGGCCCAGCTGCAGCATCTCTACCTCCCCTCAGCTCCACGTGAGGTTTCCAGAGGTGCCCAACAGTCTGACAAGCACCTCCACGCTGGCTGCTCATGATGGTGTTTTCTTGCTCTGCAGCGTTTTTGAAACCCAATCCTTTCTCCCTTCAAACCTGCAAGACCCTGGTTCCATTTTACCCGCTAACCTCCTCCTTGCACGCTAGGAACAGCCTTTGAGCAGGGACTGGCTCGTCTGCTTTGTTCTCTCCATCCTCCAGCGCTGCTTGGACCCAGGTTTGTCCGAGCATTTCTGGCACGTTTCTGCCATGTTTCTGGCACGTTTCTGGCATGTTTCTGCCAGTTGGTTTCATGGTGTGGGTGTCACCGGGGCCGCGCTGTGCCCAGCGCTCACCCCACGGCCTCTGACTGCACAGGAGTTTGTCTTGCACGAGGAGCTGTAGTCGTTTGCAGCCTCCTTATCCTGCGCCCACCGGACACCACCGAGGCCACTGGCCCCATCCTCATCTTCACGAGCGGTTTCACTTTGTTTACGCCACATTCCGAGTGCAAGACCCGGGATTCCACCGAGATCCCCCTGATTTGCCAGCACTTATCCACACCCCGGGAAACGCAGTGACGGCTTTAATCACGATCCATCACGGAGACGTATTGCGCAGCGATCCCCCGGCTGCGAGGATATGGACAAGGGCTCTCCCTGCGGATCTGCTTTTCACTGCTGCTCCCTGCAGTTTCAGTCCGGCTGCTCCTCTTTTCCTGCGACCTATGGGATTTTGTCATCCCGAAAATCCCTGCCCACCACGGCCGCGGGGAGACCAACATGAGAGCGGTCAGCGGTGCCAGCAGGAGATAGGATCCAAATAAAAGCAGCAAGTCAGGCTAAATAACCTGAAAGTCACAGCCTGGAAGCACCATTTCATCTGTTCTCTCGCTGCTTTCCACTGTTATTTCTGTCAGTCGTCCTAGTCTAAGCTCCAGCAAGCACCAAGGGGTGCAGGAGACCACAACCAGACACCAGCTGGAATCTGGAGCAGGGACTGTATGAGCTGGAACGAGCAGGTGTTGAAATTCAGCTCTCCGAGGAGGTAGGAGCCGTGGGGTACCTGCACCTGGCACACGAGCTCCCTCCACACTTGACATGGGTTGTCCCAAGGAAGGGCATCGTGCGGATGAAGCCCCTTTTCCCACTAGAGGAGTGGCTGTGGTTTGGCACTTGCCCAGGATTCCAGTCTTGGAGGCATTAATGGCACTCACATATTTTATCTTCTTCCTCCCTCAGCCTAATTGCATCGAATGATTTGCCAGAAGGCAAACATTGACAAAAACATCACAAAACAAAAAAATATAAACACGCACACTGGAACATACACCTACACATTTACTTATAAATAAATACCTATATAAATACTGAAGTATTTACATTCATTCTGAAATATTTAAAAGACTATTAAAACACTGTATTACTTATACCTAAATGGAAATACTATTTCACAAAAGGGGCATGGGAGAGCTCAGGATATTGCTGAAACCAAACCAATGTGGGAAATAATTCCTGGCCAATGCAAAGCGCAGCGTTTGCAGCGAGCGCTCGACAACAGTGTCTGTGCGGATGTGCTGGATACAAACCCCTTGAAGAAATCCTGCTTGCTCAGCTTTCCTGACTGCACCAGCTGATACAACAACTGGCCCATGTGATCCCTGGTGATCTGGCTCCTCTCGAGCGTCGACTCCACTCCCACTCGCACGAAAACAGGCAGCAGGTTCTGGGCGCTCAGCTCCTCCACGCACTGCATCGCTTCCTGCCCGGGCAACACAGAGGGCAAAACATGGTAAAACTTGGTAAAATATCGAGCCAAGACAAGAACAGGGTGTTGGGTTACATTCATTACTGGTCCAGGAATTCCCATGTTACAAAAACATACTATGCTAAGAAGCCAAATTATACAGGTAACTTCTGGAGCAGAATTTCCTCTTTATAAAGCATCTGTCTTCTGGCACTTGCAATTTGTAACGTAAGCCAGTAAAGCACGTAAATACAGACTTTCAAAGCAATACTCAATGCCATACTTCAAAAATCTCCACTGTTGTCAGTGCAGCTCTTCAGCTGACCCTCTAGGTTCAACCCAGAGGGTCTTGGTGGGCTTTCTGGCCAGAAGGTTATGTCTTCAGCAAGCAAGACCTGGCAGCCCCAGATGGATTTCTGGAGGATTTAGGGGTCTTTTTCCATAGCTTGGCAGACCCAGACCACACACTCAGGTCACAGCTTTTCCACCAGACATGATGGACAGATCCTGACGTCCAGATGTTAGACTTTAAGGTTGATCTCAAAAAACAAAAGGACTGGAGGCTCCTTCCTTAGGCAGCTCATCTAGCCCAGCAGCCCTCACACTCCTCTTGCTAAGGTTTGCTTGACCTGCAGACACTGTAGATCAAATTGTACCTTTTCTCCAAATCATGATTTAATAATTTCTCCTGGTAACCCAAAGCATCTATCTTAAGAAATCTTCTTTTTCTGATTTTAATTGGAAGCAATTTAAAATGCAAGCGATAGCTCTGCATTTAAGGTGCCAAACCAGAGCGTTCTGGCACTGTCCTTTCAAACTTGGCAGGTTTTTATATATTTTTTGTTGTTGTTGTTCATCTAAGATCAAACCAATCACCTCTGCAGCAAATGTAACATCTCTTGCAAAGTCCCTGGACATGCAAAAAATCCATTTACAAGAGAAACAAAATTGTAACCTTTAACGAGGAAGTGATGACAGCTGCTCAGTAATTCCCGATGTTTATTAAAAATACTGTGGAGTAGTTTGTTCAATATTTAGTATTGCTTCATCTGCCTCTGGATCAGAACAGCACATGCTTTGGTAACTGAATGAAAACCTCAGTTTATTTTTCCATTAGCTTTCCTACTTCCAAAACTGCTATTATTATCAAGTTGCTCAGTGATTCATGACAGCTACACATACATCTTGCTACTTAAAATGCACAAATTGGGCTATTTTCCCCATTACTAACAGGAGTACAAAACAAGATGGTGAGACCCTGCCTAAAACTACTCCTGGGGCTGTGGCCATCCAAATTTTAACAGGTAGCACCATTTTCATTACATCTGGAACAGCTGGGTGCTTATAAAGACACTGTTCCTGGAGAGAAAACATACTCCAAGGCCCATGGCTGCAGACCTTGCCATTATGCAAAGTTTTCATTTTGCTTACCTTAAAATCATTAATATGTAAGAACTCATCAATGATAGATTTGCATTTTCTCTCTATTTCCTCTTCTGATAACGAAGGCTTCTCTTGTACGGGAGCTGGGGGAGCTTCTGGCTTGGCTGGCAGGCACACAGAAAGAGGAGACGTTTGGAAAAGGAAAATCAGCACCATTCCCAACAAGACAGTTTGAAAACACCAGTGACCTGTTCCTCAGCCCGGAGCTGTTCCTGCTGGACAGCAGCATTCCAAAAGCAGGATTTGCTCCGGTAACCAAGAGGATGCTGCTTTGGAAGCAGGGGACCCCGAAACAACCAGTGTAGGATGTTTCCTGTCTCATCATCGGTTATAGATATTCCCTCCCTTTATATGAACCCTCCATATTTCTGTAAATCAGCCTTAGAAACACTTGGCACTCCTCTGCCCTAGCTGCACCCAGGGACGTGGTGACTGAGGCAGCTGGACCCAGGCCCCTTTCCATCCTCTCGTTGTGTCCTTCTCTGTACAGAGCTGGTGATTCCCTAACACAACGCAGACAAAATCAAAGTTCCCACAAATAACCCCGGAGATCTGTTATTCCACAGCTTCTCCAAACCCACATCATTCTACGTCCTCATATTCCTCAAACTTCTGTGACTTATCCCAAAGACAGATTTTAGATACATGAGATAATCTGAGAGGATGCTTCTTGGCTCTGGTTTTAGGGATGTCCATCCCAGAAACCAGCTGCAACAGGAGATGAGTATAAAAGCCAACGATGGGGCTGGTGTTTAGCAGGTAACTTCTGCCTCCAGACCATGAGGAAATCTAAGGAGAAGCTGCTGAGAAAAGATGGTGCTAAGAAGTTTCTAAATCAACTGTGTTACACAGAATCACAGAATTGGAAGAGCTGGGGTTGGAAGGGACCTCTAGAGATCACCTAGTCCAACCCCCTGCTCCAACAGGACACCTAGAGCAGGGGCACAGGCGGGTTTGAAGATCTCCAGAGAAGGAGACTCCACAGCCTCGCCTTCAGGACACAGACTCCAGCGCTCAAAGCTTGATGTTCTGCCACTGCGGGCCACTCACTCACATGGTTGCAGGGAGATCTGTCATTTTTACTCATCGATTCTCCCACAAGCTGCTCCACGCGCTCAGGGACCCCGCGCAGGTGCCCGAGCCCTGGCGGGAGGGCCGCTCACCGGGCTCCTTGGCTTTGCTCCTGTCCGGCTCCGAGCTGTTCCTCTCCATCTCCATGCCGCCCGTCAGCTGCTTCACCGTCTCCAGCATCTCCCGCCGCTGCTCCTCCTGCGCCTGGTTGTCCAGCAGCAGCTCCTTGCTGCTGCTGCCCCGAAGGAAGGTGTTGGGACGGGACAGCGAAGGCGGGAGAGGTTTGTCGTTCTTCTCCCTGCCCGTGCTCCCGCGACTGAGGAGGAAAAACACGCTCGGTTAACGGGTAACGGCACCAGAACCCCCTGCCCACAGCGCTGCCGGTGCTGAAGAAGACACTGATCAGCTGAACACACAGCAAAACACCGACAAAACAGCGGGTGCGGGTGCCTTTATAAACCACTTCAAGAGTTAATCTGTTATTTAGGGTTAAGCCACGGTGCATGCAGTGAGCTGGAGAACTCTCCT